CACTACAATGGAAAGAATGGATGATTTAAACAACAAATGAAGAGGACTAAAAGCTATAAGCTAAAGTTAGCAAGGTAGCTATGTGGCCTTACCTCAGTTTGGCTCCTTTTCTCTGGTAAAATCTTGTCTCTGTCAGCCATTTTGTGCTGAATAAAGATAGAATCACTGCTTTCTATATGATTTTGTTTGCTGACCAAGGTAAGAGTTACACTAATGCCTGTTTGGTTGTATTTATTAGCCTACAGATTAGTCGCTAGGCTAGCAGTCAGGATTGGCTGACTGGGATTCCAGAGGGATTCTCAATGCAATGCAATTGTACTATACTATAATTTTAGGCTGGCATGCCCCCTGTAAAGTATTTTTACAACATGTAAAAATATGGAGGAAGATCTGTGGTTTTGGCCAGATGCATTTAAACCTGAACACAGGAACTCATAGCTGTTTGACAGACTCTTTAGACATTACTGACTGAAAGATTTAAACAGACAGGAAATCTGCATCATTCTGAGAAGGTTACCATGCAGGATAAAATAGGAGCACAAAGCTAAGAGCACAGAATATTCCAACTGAGGGGGTATTATCAGAACGTTTGACTGAGGTGGGCAGGAGACCAACTGTTGATGAGCCATCACTCAACCGCGGCTGGGGCACATCAGTCACGAAGGGCTGCACTCACAATAGGGGTTCAGACACAAACAACAACACTGACAACACTGCAGACACACAGTGAGCGGACAGAGGTATGTGAAGAATGGACAACGTTCTATGTTTGAGTAAGCAGATTGGTTGTGTGCGGTGCGGGTCTGGCGCGAGCTCATGAACCCACTGGCCTTTTCTTTAGGTGCACTGACTGTGCGCGTTTGGAGCCGTTTTTCGCTGAACAGCAAATACCACTGACATAATGATAGCATGTAGCATGCTCTGGGGACACAAAACCGCAGAGCAAGCCGGCGAACAAACCTGGAGCCCCTATTCAGCCAGCGTTTCTCTCAGTACAGCACACGCAGGCAGGCAAACATATACTCAGACGCAAATGTACACATCCACACTCCATCGAACACTGCAGATCTCAGCCATTGCTCAGGCTGTAGACCGCTCGGCCTCTGTTGCTAAGCGACAAATTGCTTTCGCTGTGCAGGCAGACACTTCTTTCCCTTCTCACAAAAAAGCACAGCAGTTCTCCCTCACGTTCTACGGCATCACCATTTCTCTTCGCGCTCAGCTGCCTTAAACGTCAGCCGTTAGCTATTACACACAGTGCCCATCAAAATAAAATCCTGATACTGTCTGCAAGCTGTCTCGTACCTTGAGTGTTTCCCAGACTAATGTGAATATGCTATATCTGCGGTGTGCAGTTGATTAAATTTACCTGTTGCTTCAGCAGCATTGACTTCTATTGTAAATGCATTTTAAGTCAAAGCATTTTAAGTTCTTTTACTAAGTAAACATGTTGAAATTATTGTACGTGCGAATCTATGTCGCACTGCCGATGCAGAAGATAAAGATTAGGTTATAAGGTTAGAAAAATGCTGGAGTACACCTTTAACCTCTGTTCAACATGTTTGCAACTGAGCAACAATTGGATTGAAGGGAATTAAGCCTAATACAGTCTAAATCTCTTGGGCTGTTTAAAATGCCTTTAGTTTTTACATTCACAGATCACACATGCCACTAAGTCTGCCTCACCGGGCCATGCAAGGTGAGGAGAAGGGGACAGGCCTGGCTTCAGCCCTTGGGGCCAGTCCCTCTCTAACCAGCCCTTTGCCACTGTACTGATCGAGAGCGGTTTTGATTCGGAGGTTGTCAAGGAGAATGGCTTGCCGAGCCAAGCTAAAAATACCTCACAATGTTTGGCAATGGAGGCACGCAATGCACGTAATCAGGACCACTACAGAATAAGACACTTTTTGATAAGATGTCTTTACTTTTTAATGCAAAACATTGCCACTTTTTAATCCCTTAGCATTCCAGGTTTATGTCATACTAAGTCTTATTTTTCACTAACTCCAGGGACTTGCAAACTATTGAAGCTATTCTTAGGTTACAGAAGTATATAAAAAAAACTTTGGGCCTGTCGGCGAGGACCCTTTGGGACCCTTTGGGACCCTTAACGGCTCATGGCTTGTCATTAAGCGGTTAATGTAAAACACTACCTCCCTTCAAACTTTAGACCTCTTTAGTGACATTTACTGATATTTGCAGTCATGTTATTGTAGCATTTACTTTTATGCTTATAATACGTTATTTAGATTATGGAAAAAACATGCTTATTCGCTCACTAACACTAACACACTGACATAATTGACTACTTGGGTCTCAAAAATTAATATCAAATGACACCAAATTTTATGACATTTGATAATATCAAAGCAGTTAGATCAATAATAACTCGATATAGAATATCAATGTCAATGTTCAATTTCTATGCAATTTCTGTGCGTGGAACACTGCTTTCCAAGACTGTGCTCTGCAGGATTTTCTTCAGAGCAGATATGAAGCGGTGTTTCACTACCCCTTCATCATCTGTCAACACCTGCATATTCAAAGAAGCCAGAAAGTAACACTGAACTGTATGTGTTTCTCTGTTGGAAAAAAAAACTGAATGACTCTCTCTCTCTGTCTCTCCCCATCTATATTTCTCTCACCATCCTTCTTTGTGTGTGCGTTTCATTTCAACAGCCATTAATCACTTCTATTGCCTTTGTCACCATGGAAACTGGACTAGCCAAGTCTTCCCCAGTTTCCCTGGGCTGCTGCTCCCTCTCCCAGGGGGCGGATATACGGCTTTGATGGACAGCTCGACTGCCCTATGAGCTTTACAGAATTCCCCTCTTCCAAAACTATACCCCCGAAGTCCTGTCCGGCCCTTCTACCAAACGGCATCCCTCATAACCCCTCCTTTCTATTTCGCTCTCCTTTTCGCAGTCTTGCTCTCTTTCTCTCTTAGTCAGTATCACAGCATAGGTTACATAATAGCAGCCTGAATTATAGCCTACACATAAGCATTCAGAAGAATGTAATTACAGTGCTGAAGAGATCCACACGAGCGTTAATTAGTCATCTGTGCCTTTTTATGAAGACGTCTCCCCACTATAGATAATCAGAGCAACGCAGGTGCTGTAACCCACACAAAAAAACGTTACTTTAAATATGTGCATTCATTTTACATTAATAGAATATGTTACACAATGATAACTCAATGGTATCTTTCAGTTTGCTAACTTTTTGTGGTAACTGTGCTGATGTTAAGGATGCTGTGATCCAGCATTTCCTCTTCCGATATCCGAACTCAGGGTATCGGTCCATACAGCGCACAGATCTGATACCAGGGCTTAGTTAAGGCACTTAAGCGGATAAATCTGATGGTTGTAAGCGTGTTGAAAGAGCATTCAAAGTAATCTCAGTCAAAACTTGGTAAGGTCTTCTGAGGATGTAAGTGAATCTTATACCTACTATTTTCATCATATCTTCATTAGTATAACGTTGAATTTGCATTTGAACCATATGTTCTTTTTCGACCCGACACCTTTTAAATTACTATTACTGGCTTTACAGACTGAGTCGCATCAGCACACACATGCCATATTTTAGCATTTTTTTCCTCCTTTTTTTCCTTTCCTGCTACTTCTTTGAACTTAAATGAAAAAAATTTGCATAGTGCAGCTTTAAAGTAAAGATATTTTATTCCAAAGGATTTGTAGCATTTCCATTGGTCCATTCATCACAAAAATTTCACACAGTATGAAACACGCTGCTGTTGAAAGATTTAAAAAAGGGAGATATATGTAGTTTTTGTGCAGCGATGATATTTTATTCATTTGGAAATGCATTTGAATCAAATAAACTCAATGCATGATTATTTTTTAATTGTGAAAAGCAGGCAGTTTCGCCTCAAATTCAGAGGAAAACGGCAGCTGGAGATGAAAGAGCACTGTGAGAGAAACAGGAAAGGGCTGTGCAGAGAAGGCCCAATGTAAATATATGTGTATGATGAAGGCAGTTGGATGACCTGCGGCACCTGAGGGGGCAGCATTATTCGACCTTCTGCAGAGCGCTTTATTAAGTGTATGCGTGGATGCGGGCACATTACCTCACAGCCTACGCCAGAGCCGCAGCCACACATCACACACGATCTGCCTCACGGCTGCTTTCGCAGCACGCTCGACTGCAACACGGCTACTATATGAGCCCCTATTGTGTGTTTTTGGTATATCTCACTTTGCAGATCCAACAGAACTGCTAACATCAAAGTAAGAATTAAATATATACAAAAAGCTATGCTGAAAACCAGAAGTGTCATGGCAGTGAGCCATGTGTGTGCATGTGTCAGAAGAAATGAAGCTCCCACTGTCAGCATCAGCCATGTCAGATAACAGAGCTTTTCAGAAGCTGCCCAGCTTGTGTTGCCATTCAGAACACTCTGCGCTCACCAACGCTGTCACAGCGTCTAGCGGTAGCTTTGTTCTGCATCAGAGTCTGGAATAGCAAGTGCTCTCAAGAGAAGCAACCTGTACATAAAAGAAGTAAAAACAGCCATACGCTAAGACTATTTAGAAATCAACTGATTCAATGTCATTACTTAACAGAACCAGCTAAATATATGAAAAACCCACATTTATATATACAGCTGCAGAAACAGTAGTGATGTAATGGCCAGCACTATTGTTGCTGTGTCTTCACACTTTTTACAGCAGTTTCGCATGGACATGCACACACTCCCACTCTTAAGCACAGTGGTACAGAAGAGTGAACAGATGTTTCCCATCTGCTGGAGACTTCAGGGAGGCTGATTTAAAACCCCACTGACCATCATGAAAACTGTAACAACCTGACACTTAGCCTTTTCATTGACTCAGTGATTGAAGATAATCAATCAAGTTATGAAGCTGTAGATACAGCCAAAGAACGGCAATAAATCTACTTGATATGCACACGTATCTCAGGATGGGCTACTCGGTTTACAAATACTGACGTGCATGTGTGAGTGCATGGGTACTCACAGTGGTTTTAGTCTCCTTGATTTCCCTCTCCTTGTTCTGTCTCCTGGCCGGGGAGAGCGAGCCGGGGCTCTGTGGGGACAGACAAGACGCATCGTCAAAACTGCCCTCTGTGTCGAAGCTTTCCTCTGTCTCCATGTCTCAGTTCCTCCCTTCTTTCTCTCCTTCCTTCTTTCCTTCCTTCCCTCTCTCTGCCTCTTTCACTCTCTCTCAGTCTCTGTTCTCCTGCCACACTGCTCAACTCCCGCGCGCAGTCTGCCTGCCTACCTCCGTTGCCGTGGCGAGCAGCGCATGGAGGGGGTGGGTGGTTAGAGGGGGGCGTGTCAGCGAGAGGGGTGGGTGGTGATGTTGTGCATCGAGGAGAGCAAGAGAGAGAGTTAGAGAGAGAAACACTGAGTGAGTGAATGAGTGTGTGGAGGAGTGACACAAACCTACAGAAACTGGAAAAAGGAGACAGAGAGAGAGAGAGAGAGAGAGAGAGAGAGAGAGAGAGAGAGAGAGGCAGAGGGCAATCTGATAGAAAACAAAGGGTCTGATAAGATGATAACAGCAAGAGGCATATTACAGAGAAAGAGGGAAAGTGAATGAGTGAGTGGAACACAAAGAGAAAGAGAGAAATTGGGATAAAAGGAAGAAAGAGATAAGAGTGTGGGACTGAGTCAGAGTGAGGGAGAGTGAGAGAAAGAGAAAGAGAGGGAGAAAGAGAGACTAAGTAAGTGAATGAGCAAGTGGAGGCACAGTTAAGAATACTTAATACAAATAGACATTGGAAGAATGAGAGAAATTAAGTAAGTGAATGAGTGAGAAAAACAGTGAGAGGAAGAGAGATGTAAAGAGAAAGAGAGTGAAAGAGAGAAAGAGGAGACAGGTGACTAAGTGAATGAGTGAGTGAAAGTACAATTAATAACGCTGAGGACAAACACACTGGGAAGGAAAGAGAGGAAAGTAGAACAAGACAGGGAGAAGAGAGAAAAATTGAGTAAGCGAACAAGTTAGTAAGAGAGTGAGAGAGTGAGAGAGATTTTAATAGAACACTGAAGGTCTGACAGGATGAATATACAGCGAATCGCTGCTGTCAGAAAACAAAACCTCATATCTCCAAAATGGTAACAGGAGAAGGAAAAAACATACTTGACTTTTAATGGAAGTCAATGGAAGCAGACATTTTCCTAATTTTGGGCTCTATCTTTTGGTCCATTTATCATCAAATTTACACACAATGTAAAGAGCACTTTCAAATTATGTCAAAAACTGAAAAACGACAGCTATAGTACAGCTATACAGAGAAAATGGGGAGAAACAGAAACAGAAGCATTGACTCTGTTAGAAAGCATAAGTAAGAGTGCAAAGAGAAAAAAAAAACAGATTTTATTTACACAAACTGCACCACACCCCCTCCCCGCTGCATGTGTGTGTGCGTGTGTTTGAGGGAGAGGGGAGGAGGGAAGAAATAGCCGTGTGATAAGCGTTCAGAGGCTAATTAGGATTGGAGACAAGATACGCCATCACACAAGAGTGAACCACATGATCAGCAAGGAAAAGGCAGTGAGAGAGATTCACCTGCTTGTGAAGCTGTACGATGGTTCAAGGAATCTGTATTCATAGCACGCATCTGTCTGTGCTCCTGTGTTCCAGTGTGTTACGTGAAGGGGTAGAACTGAGTGAGGGCAGGTGCTATATTTACACATGAACTGAGCAGCAGACCCCTGTTCTCAAGCGCGTGGATGTGTGCGGGTGTGTGTTCATGTTTTTCTCAGTGTTCGAGCTTCCATCTATGACGCATATCTCCGAGCAAAACAAACCCAGCTCCCCACCCCCTCCTAATGACCATGTGTAGTAGATGCACAGCTTATGGCAAAAACAACACAACCACTCCTGCACAAGATCAAAATCACAGCATGTACACATGGAACAACAGCAAATGCCAGTACAACCACAAACACCTTTTTTCTCTCACCTTTCTCCAGAACATGGCGGCGCTGGCCCAGCACCTACTGGTCTGTCCTGTCCCGTCCTGCCCTATAGTATCAGGCTGTCCCCTGTTGTTACTAGGTCTGTGCCCCAGCCCTCCGTCCTCCGCTCCTGTCCCGTGCCTCTCGCCCCACTACAATCCACCCTTCCCCAGCCTGGCCCTGGCTCAGCCCCTGACCATGCTCCAGCGTCTGCAAGTGGGCTGCCCATATGGCCTGCTCTCCTTCTGGCCGCGCCTGTCTGCTTGCTGGCATGGCTGCGCCTCCGTCCAACCACTCGGCAGGTCACATGGCCTGCCATGGATTTTACTTGGCCCAGCTTCAGCTACTGCTTTACCTGTTACCGTCACCAGACACACGCAAGTGGCTCCAGAGCCAGCAGCTCAGACTACAGCTTTAAGCCTTTAAACCACACTTCAGTTCATATTTGCATATTACTTTCATAATAGTTACACCAAATTATTCATAGCAGTCGCTAAATATTCACTGAAGTCTTAAGACCATTAATAGAACAATAAATCTTACTTAGGCCTTAATATTTTAACCACCTTGAATGTAGCCCAATAATATCCTGCCTGAATCTGACTCAACCTACCTCCCAGTGCTAGTTTTAAATCCAAACTTGACTCAATTCTGTCCAAACCCGACTACAGCTGGACAAAATTCTGTCCAAACCCGACTGTAGCCTGACAATATTCTGTCCAAACCTGACAGCAGCCTGACAATATTCTGTCCAAACCCGACTGTAGCCTGACAGAATTCTGTCCAAACCTGACTACAGCCAGACAGAATTCTGTCCAAACCCGATTGTAGCCCGGCAAAATTCTGTCTAAACCTGACTAAAGCCCGACAAAATTCTGTCCAAACCCAACAAAATTCTGTCCAAACCCAACTGTAGCCTGACAGAATTCTGACCAAACCCGACTACAGCCTGACAGAATTCTGGCCAAAGCAGACAACAGCCTGACAGAATTACGTCCAAACTCGATTGTAGCCCGACAAAATTCTGTCCAAACCCGACTACAGCCCGACAAAATTCTGTCCAAACCCAACTACAGTCTGACAGAATTCTGGCCAAACCCGACTACAGCCTGATAAAATTCTGTCTGAGGCTGACCCAAACCCAACCACCTGCAACTAGAGACCAAAAAAAAATGATAGCACCTTTAAAATGACCTTGTAGTAAAAATAACAGCTATCCTCCTATCATAGACTCATTTAAAAGCCAAATCATCAGCTATCCTAAATTACATTTAAATTACACTTTAACTAAAGCTGGGGTAAAGCAGGTCAACATCATTAAAGGTAGGAGACTTTAAGAAACCTGAGGTGAAATCTAAACCTGACTTAAGCCCAACAATTATTTGTTGAATGATGCCTGAAATTGACCAATCCCAACTTGAATAGCCAGGTCCATTCGGGTTCAGACAATTTTTTCAAACTATAGCCCAGACGTACCGTCTGAGACTGGCGAGTATAGAGAAGTCAATACTAAGTGATCTGACATTTGATGTGTGCCCAGTAGGGACCAAAATAAAGATGCGGATGACACTACAGGAGTACAAATGGGTAAAAGCTTGCCATGAAGTGCCAAATCGATGCAAATGCTAAAATTCATTCACACAATGGATGTGATCCAATTGTCATTTCTCAATAGCATGACATAGCTGTACCGTGCTGAATAACAGATAAGACAACCCAGTAGGAGATTAAGGTACACATGTGTTCTACAGGCTTTAAGCAGCAGCAGCGGACAGACTTACACATCAATCCTCTTAAAGCTCTCGGATGTGACCTGCCTCAGCAAGACAGTACCTGGCCGTTCATGCCGGCTTTCCGCTGTGCCACGTCTGCCTTCTCCAGCTGCTGGACAGGAGCTCTGAGAGGCTGGCATCCTTTCACTGAAAGTACAAGAGAGGACAAGAACTTACACCAACCCGCTGCTTCACGTTGCAATGCCCTCATCATCCATGCAATGTGAAAGGGCTTTAGACTTGATCCGCTGAACTGTAAACAGAATGGGTGAACTGAGTAATTTATTTATGATTATATGTGAATTAATTTTATATGGATTCCATAATGATTGAGGTTCGCAAAAAAAAAATCACACAAGTCCAAAGTTTTTATTGTATCAGAGTTACTACTGTAACAGATTTGAGTCTGCATGTTTGCCGTTGTAAATATGTATGACACCAAATATGTAAGGCAAGATAAGTTTGTATGCCCAACAATAACATTCAAATTATGATAAAATATCTCCTTTTCTAAGTACAAACATAAACGTGACATTGATTGAAAGTTTAGAATCCACATTTTTGAAAGAACTTCTCTGCTTGTTCCGACAAGTGAGAAATAATTAAGATAAAATTATATATGCTTTTGTTAGAACCTGTGATAATTGCAGTTTGGAAGAGCAGGAATTTCTATGGGTAGGTAGGTAGACAGGTTGGTAGGTGGGGAGGTGAGTAGGTGGGTTGGTAAGTAGCCAGGGAGGTAAGTGAACAGGTGGGTAGTTATGTAGGTAGGAAGAACATAGAGATAGGTAGGTAAGTAGGTGGGTGAGTGCCTAGGTGGGTAGGTAGGTGTATAGGAAGACAGGTAGGTAGCTGACTAGGTGGGTAGGTAGGCCGGTGAGTAAGTGGGTGGGTTGGTGGGTAGGTAGACAGGTGGGTAGGAAGATATGTAGACAGGTAGGTAGGAACGTAGGTGTGTAGGCAGACGGATGTGACAGTAGACAGGTGGGTGGGTACCCAGGTAGGTAGATAGGTGGGTAGGTACGGACTGATAGGTAGCTACGTAGGTAAGTACTGAGCAGGTAGGTGAGTAGGCAGGTGCAATAAGCTTAAAGAAAAGGGGTATACTGAAGCACCAAAATGTAGATTTTCTTTCATTTGCATGTTTCAACTAGACTTGTGGAATGCCAAAACTGTGGAAGGCAAAATTCATTCAAAGATAAACACACACATCACTTTAAAGTCAGGAGTGTGCACCATTATTTGTCAAAAAACAAACATTAATTGTTATGTATTAACACAAACACTTAGGGTGCTTTCACACCTACTGTGTTTCGTCCGGACCTTCAGACTTTTCAGTTTGGTCCAAACCAAAGTAGCAGGTGTGAAAGGTGCCTCAAACCACGGTTCGCACCAAAGGACCAAAATTTGGTCTGATCAAAAGAGGTGGTCTTGGTCCGGATTAAAATTAACCATGTTTCAAAACTTTTTTGGATGGTTCGGACTTCCGGACCAATTACAGGAATTTGAGGCTACCATCACCCATTAAACAAGGGAAGAGGAAAAAGTCAAACACAAACGTTAAAAGTCAACTTGAAACAATACATAGAAAATGCCAAAACCACAGATGATGGTTCTTCAAGGGTTCTTTAGTAAAGAAAATGGTTCTATATAGAGCCATGAACACATTCTTCAGAATGTGCTGTAGATGGATCTATGTAGAACCTTTTTGAAAAGGCTTTGGACTATACTTATTCACATTATGAACAAGAAATGTCATTGTTTAGGAGTAACAGCTTAACAAATGCGTTCACATTAGAGCTGGGCGATATGGCCAAAAATGTTATCACGATAAACAAAATTTCTATTGTTCGATATCGATACATATCGCGATAAATGTCAAATCATTATTTCTTTCAAGTTTGAAGGCTGATTTTTGCTCCTGGGTGGTTAATTGCTGTTTTAAACTATTCTTTATGGTCGCAACACGACAAACACTCGCCAAACAGTGGAACTTTTCACAAATCTGTCATGGGAGAGTGGGAGAGAGTGTCTGGTGAGCTGTTTTTACCAGCTGGAAAAACATGGCTATTTTGTAATGTTCATAATTTAAGAAAGAAAACAGATCATTTTTAGCTGGTGTCGAGCGCTCGGCTACCCCGCTACAAATGACGTCACAGTATTCAGACACCAGCTAGCGACGACTGGATATTCAATTGTAGTAGTTTAAGGGGTGAACCGCAAAATATCAACACCAGACAAACAGAGTCCTCCTTTTAGGTACGTTTAAACTGAAAGCGGTGCTTTTGTGTCGTGTTTGATCTACAGTATCATTAATTCGCCGTGTCGTACAGTGATGAAGCGCTGCTTTAAGTTAGCCAGCTGCTAAAAACAGCTAGCCTGGAAAGCTAGCGCTCTCCCGCTTTCCAATGCCTCACAGCTTCCTCAGTTTACTTTTGTTTACATCAGGGCCGTAACTGCATGAACCCACTTCTTTCTTTCACTTTCGTTGCTTGGGAATGCACTCATACTTAAATATGACTATCCGAGCGCTGTAACAGCGCTGTAGTTGTGAGGATTGTGATTTAACGCTGCTAAAGCTGGTTAGGATGTACAGAAAGAGGTGAGTTCACTGTAGGACAGTACAGTTACACCACTGACCTCGTCACTCACACTCGGTCACAGGAGAACAGATCGCCGGTCGCTCCACTCAAACAGGGAATGTATAACTCCGCGTTTCAGCCGTTGCTAAAGACTCCTCTTACTCGTGGCCCCCTCCCTCTCTAATCATGTAGAAAAACTCGGAAGTGCGCCGTCTCCTGGCGACAGCAGAGTAGTGTCGCTTTCCTTGCAGTAGAAAACGCCACCAAGGCTTTCGCTGATCGTGGAAGTGTGAGAATGGTGTATTATATCGAACATTTATCGAACATGTCGTATCGCTCTATCGAAAAGTTATATCGCGATAATTATCGTTATCGTTTTATCGCCCAGCCCTAGTTCACATTCACATGATGAATGTGCAAACAAATCGCAAAACCAACAGCAGTCTGACAGATACTGTACAGCAAAATGACAAATGTAGGAGATAATGTAAGTACTGAGTGGCTAAGGTTCAGGCAAGGCCCGCTCAGGCCTGAGCCAGCCCACGCAGTCTGAAACTCAAATGCTGCCTGTGTGCGGTGGGCTGGCGGCTCTGGCTAAGAGCCGGGAGCCATTCCTGTCGCCCCCTCAGGGCTGTCCATTAATTCAGGACATCATCATCCATATCCAGTTCTGGCTCCTGGCTATGCTACATTCAAAAGTTTAAAATGACTGTTTTCAATAATAAAATGATAGATAATGAATAATAATAAATAATATACTGCAATTAACTATTTACAGCAGCTCTCTGATAACTTATCTGCCTGAAATTTGATTACCATGTCTCTAATATGAGGTATTCTGGATGTTAATTCTATTAGAACTTCACTCTTGATGTTATACAGCTTCCTCAATCATTATGAAATCATCTACAGCTCTGTTCACTGAAACTTTCTGTATTTTTACACCTTCCTACAAATTAGGTGGAATCTGTGAAGTTCTAGAGTAGTAAAATTATTTTATAAATGTATCTGCAACATTTTTTTTTACTTTAGTGAAAACATTGATTCCAAACTTTAGACCTGTGATTACACAAAATGCTTGTGTAATTTTCAGGAAGCTGTAAAAAATGAGAAAATGTCAGATGTGTCCATAATAATGAACAGAGCTATAGATGATCCCAAAAATAACTGAGAATGAAGATACATATAGAAAAGATGATTTCTGACAGCATTATGTGGCTATCATAGTAATATAATAGTAATAGATAAAATGCAGCACTTTCTAAGGAAAAACATGAGTACCCTGTGATCTCCTATAATGCATGATACAGCGACATGACACAAAAGTAAACAGAATTACACAAAATGTTTATTAAGCACTTAACCAACATTAAAATGCAATTTTGCAACACCCTGTGTACTCTGTTCTGTTGTTCTGTGGTGAGCAGAGCTGTTACAATGCTAACCAGCAAGAAAACTTAACTATAAATAAATAAACTTAGTAACTATAGCATACTATTTTCATTTAATAACTTATTGTTATTCCCAAAATGTAAATTTTAAAATACCTATGGTGCCTAGTTTGTAATACTTAGTAGTTTATGTAAGTTATTACTGAATAAAATAATAACAATATATACTAGTGATCCCAAACTTTTGAATGGTAGTGTATATCTGCTCCCCTCTCCTCCACAAGCTTGCAGAGGCTTCCTCTTTCTCCCCACTGCTATCCCTGAGCCTCTGATTCACCATCCATCCTCTCGCTGCAGTGTCAGTCCAATGAGTGTGGGGATAGTACACGTGAGCCATTGGCAGCGACTCCTCGGGCTGCATGGAGAAAGCGCTTAACGGACACCAGATAACAAACCCTGCCTTCGGCAGAGGAATAGCAATGAGACAGGGAGGTGCGGGCGCAGGAGGAGAAGGAATCAGAACACATTTCTTTACATTATAACACAAGCTCTAGTGCCTGCACATCAGGGTGGATCTTCCAAATGTGGCCTCAACTGCTGTTGTGGCCTTCTTCCTCTTAGATGGTTTGCCAAGATTCAAATGTACACTGGCATCCCCTAAATATAGGCAGTCAGCCAAGACACGTTTAGATCTGAAAATTGCTTCTTTAGTTTTGCATCGGAGCTATAATGCTGATGTTGCTAATATGAAGCCTACAGCAACCAGGTAGTATTTTGCAAACTGCATGTTTAGATCATCACACAATTGCCTCAAACCAGACAGGTTGTTTGATAATCTGAAATACGCTGAGTAAATGCTAGTGTGTTTTTTGACCCTTTATGGCATATAAAAATAGATTAAAATCAAGATTAGTATAAGGTAGCTGTTATTATTGCTTTAGCTAGGTGACATATTTTTGTCCATTTTTATAGATAACAATGTCATACAGTTTCGGAAACTACTTGAGCAAATCTATTTGAGATTACGTAACAACTGGACACGGTTTAAGACAAGTGTGATGATTTAGGCATGCAGTTTGCACAATGCTAACTGGTAGCTAGAAACTTCCATTACTCTAGCTTCTAGCTACAATAACTTCCATGCACAACAATAGAAATAAACTTCAGACACCAATTACGTCTTGGATGACTGGCTATACTTGGGGTAGGGGAGCACTGTTTACATTTATTTTCCAACCAATCCATCACTTTAAATCATCACCCTAAGGACCATTCTACCATAAATAAATAAATACATGCATACATACATACATACATATAAACCCAAGGCTTTTTAATTAACCAATATAGTAACAAGCTAAATATATACAAAATCATCTTTTATAGGGTACTTTCAACTGGGAGGTGGCTGCCCCAAACCCTAACTTCTAAAATTCTTGTGAAAACTTGTGAAAATAATCTTTTAAAGTGAAGTTGAAATATTTAGATTTATCTTGAGTTTAATTTTTAAAAAAAAATGCTGTCCCATATTTTTATATCACTACTGAAACACAAAGAGCTTTCGCTCTTAGGCAGAGCCTTATTTTAGCCACGCCCCTGCATTTTACAGGAGGAGGGAAGACTGCATCCCTGTCCCTCCCAGCCACATGGTGAACAGTTAGATCCCGTTTTGAAATAAATGTGTCCCAAAATCTGAAAATAAGTGTGCAACATCAGTGTGTGACTGTCTTGCATTTTAATAAAAAAATTATGATTTTGATATTATGATTTATGTGTGTACAGCTGTTCAAAGCTGCATTTGCTAGTCGTGTAGTGGCTAGTGTTTCTGAGTTATGCTCAGAATTAACAAACAGTCACTTCAAAACATTTGGCAAAGTTTCTAAGGTGCTATTACTGTACTTTTATAGACAAAAAAGGACTGTACAACCATTTATTTTAATAAAATAAACATAATTACGGTACAGAGTCCAACAAAGCAAAAGGATAAGTGTAAAGTTCAAATCAGTTAAAAGTCCAAACTGTGTTTTCAACCAATTTGGTAGAATGATCCATGTAAGATGACCTGATAGGTGACTGCCCTAATTCACGCCTTCTGCTCCTCTTCATTTAATGTCCTAATAATATCAGAGATAAGTATTTACGTATTTCATCTTAGATGAGTATTTCATCTGAGTTTGTCCTGCTCTATAATTATAATATAGACAGTTTTCATTTCGTCTTTGTTGGTGAGGATTCATCCTCAAGGTTTTTATGTTTATATGTTTTTGTATTTAAATGGAGTGCTCAGTCAGTTAGATAACAGATAACAGGTTGTGCAGAATCTGTAGATATGTAATACTTCTACAAAACACAAAGCAGAAAGGCCTTAATGTAGGTCTGAAAGGGTTAAGATGCAAGCCACATAAAGATCGCTGGACCCTACTATATGCCTCCCTTGGGAAAGACATATAGGCTTTTCCACAGCTGTGGCAGTGTTCAGAGAGTGTGAGCAGCCATCATTAGGACAACCAGGCCTGACGTCCACTGTGGCATGACATGACATCTCAAGCCCAGAGATGTGTGGGGGAAAAACAGGCCTGACTAGAACAGGACTGAGTGGAGAACCATGGGGCTAATGCAGTTTTAGAAGCATGGGGTTACCTGAGATCTTGTGTGTCCGAACAGGCTTTGGGGCAGCAGCTGGTGTACATGGTCGTTCCCACGTTGTCTCTGAAATACATATAGAGTAGAAGACATTTTATGATAAATCAGATTCAAATCTACAGCGGTTCAATAGCAGGGACCTTCTCACTGCACTGTCACAAGAGTTTGTAAAGGATACAGTTCCCTTTCCTCAGGACATATTTGATCAACATGAATCCATTTGCATGTGACATTCATCCTCCCACTGCAGTTAAAAGCCTCATCTGAATGCTTCAAAGATTTGAATGGATCCTCCAAACCTTCTAATTTTTGTCATTTCTAGAGAACTTTATCACTACCAACTCTTTACCAGTTTCTCAATGTTCTAAACAGAACATCAAGAATAGGTTAGCAAAGGTTTTGTTCCGACAGCAGCGATATGCCTTTTTGGAAAGCGACGCTGTGTAGCAAATGTCTTTTTAAAGGTTACTCAACTGGGTTTTAAAGGTTACCTAATGTATTTACCACAGTTTAATTTTATCTGCTGTTAGTGAGTCTATAACAAATAACAGTTTGCTAAATTTGCTCCAAAACACAGATCAAGGACATCAATCAGATAAAGATGTGCTGTTTGACTCACATTCTGTGAAATTCAGATTATTACATTTTTTCTGCCAAATATTGCTATGGTATATATTAGACTGTGAACTGTTGGTATATGTAGTTTTAATGACATTGACCCAGAAGTAGGCATAAAAAGATTGCTTTCAATAATTGTTGCTACAAAAGGTCTCTGAGGGTCTCTTTTTACCATCACAGAGGTTTATTACTGCAGCAACCTTTAAACGACTAGAGGACACAGGCAGCTCACCTCACCTCACCCCTGCAACTTAAAAATATTAGGCTTGCTTTGCTTTCCATGTAGTTACTAAATAACAAGCCTTACGATAGAATTTTAAAAGATTTTAAGAGTGAACTGACTCAAGCCTTGTACTAAACCCACCTTATTTTCATACAGCACTTCTTATCTATCAGGCACTCATATCTAACATCCTGTATATGTGCAACACAATTAGGGTTACACAATCAAGACAACTACGGGTGTTAATCTCTCACCTCACAATCTTTCAATTCGATTCCTTACAGATCTGAAAGAAATTTAGGCTGAAGACAGTGGGGGGTTAAGGAAGCTTATTTGAATATATGGACATCCAAACTCATCACAGTATTTGTTTACTTATTCAGGCATTCAAAAAAACAATCAAATAAGTGAATGTTAAAGTTCTCATATTTTTGGTGTTAAATGTGAAGATTCATGATTATTTCAAGATACATGATTAATTCCATGATTTTTTAGGCTGTGGAAATGACCGCAAGGAAAAAGAGTGATGCTTTGCATCAATGACACTGTGTGTCCTGGTTTATTCGTAGCAGTTTCTATTTATATATATTTTCTTTTTGGAATTTGTTAAGATGGGACAAAACGAGTAGAGAAAATATATATGAGTGGCCATCAATATACTTGGTGGGGGGGAAGTGTAGTCGAAGTTTGGGAGACACCGAAAGAAATTTGAAGCTTTCTCTACTGCCATAAATACATACACAGCCAGTCACTGTCTTTACTAACACACTCCCTGCAACAGAGAATAACCAACCAAGGGCAATTGTTCTTTGTCCCAGCTGGGTCTGAAATTGTTTTTGCCACTTTTTTTGTTTTTTTTGCTTGGATGCCACTAACAGTGTTTCCAGAAAAAGGTTTCTCTCTTCTTGCACTTGCAAAGTGTATCGTTCTTTCCTGGCAGCATGTGAAGGGTCAATTTCCCCAAACAGAAAAAAAAGACTTGTGTAAGCGTTATTTGGTAATCAGCCTCGGCTAGCAGTCTCAGCGATACAGAGTGACTATTTTGGCAGCCATCCCCATAAATGTTATTTTAGAATTAGATGTCTGGAAGGTACATGCCAGTGTTACTCTAAGTAAGCTGAGGAAAAAATCATGGCTTGGCTGTAGCTGTCAGCTGGCCAGACAGTAGTAGAACTCTTATTTTCATGAAAGTGTCATTGGCAATAAGAGATCACATTTACTATAAAAATCAAATCTCCATTTACCGGCTACTTTATCAGTCTGGTAAGCCACATGTATCTGATTTCTCATTCAGGAGGAAAATGGCAATTATTCATTTTGAAAGGCAAGAGAAGGCAGCTATATAAACCAAAAACAACACAGGCTGCCTACTAGGAGCTGCCAATAATGACTGATGTGCAATCTATAAGTGAGAAATATCAGAAAAAGAAAAAAAGCAAAGAAAAAGAAATCATACCGAAACTGTTTACAAAGCAAAAGTGGCTGCACGTGGCCAAGCCATGCACAAAAATAGCCCACGGACAGTTCGGCCAGTATTCACTGGAGACCCATGGTGCCGAGCCAATGCCAGAAATGTGGCGGGTGTGCCAGCTCGGAGCGGGAGCACAATCCAGAACATGTTCTCACAAAAGAGATATTAGATCAGCAGTGCTGATTCTGGAGCTGTTTTGCTCTTCAAAGCACAACAATCTAAATTAGCTTTGCAAAAGAGAATTCTGATCCAGGATCAGCAGTTAAGGATGGGCAGACTGACACTTGATACAAGTAAAGTTCACTGTAAAAAAATTATACAACTTTTTAAACACAAAAAGGTTAGTAGCCTGGTTGAGTTCACTGAACTTCAAATAATAGTTAACAAAAATATAAAACAGATCAGACTCAAAATCAGGTCACTTACTTTTTTTAAGTTGAAAAGTTGCATCATTTTTAAAGTCTGGATATTCAGTTCTCTATTTAGAATTCATTTTAATAATTGGTGGGAACCAATTATTAAAATGAAAGTGTTTTTGTTCTGTCTGGCAGACGCTTCAAATATTATCCGTTTTAAGGGTTATTCTGAGAACATGTATTCAAGCACTTGTTCAAAAGTATCAAAGGGTATTCGAAACCTGTAAAATGCTGTTTGGGCCAGCCTTACAGCCTTTGTGAAGTTAAAACATTGAATCACACTCCTGAGTGGCACAACCGTCTAAGCAAGGCCATACACAGTGCTGTGAAAAAGTATTTGCTTTTTCCCAATTTCTTCTATTTTTGCATATTTGTCACACTTAAATGTTTCAGATCATCAAACTACTCTTAATATTAGACAAAGATAACCCAAGTAAACACAAAATGTTCTTTTTAAATTAAGATTTCATTTATTAATTAAATCTTGTTCAACCTTACTCGGCTCTATATGAAAAATTTGCCCCCTTAGCTAGTAAATTAACCAGTTAACCAAATTTAATTGATTATTGGGTTCAATTTCACTAGCCACACCCAGGCCTGATTACGAAACAAAGTCATTGAAATCTACCAGTCTGGAAAGGGTTACAAAGCCATTGTTAATTCTCTGTGACTTGAGTGAACCACTGTGAGAGCCATTATCCACCAACGAAAAAACAAAGTATCAGTGGTGAACCTTCCCAGGAGTGGCAGGCCTACCAACATTTTACCTAAAGTGCGTCGACAACTCATCCAGGAGGCCTTAACTGCTTCAGGTAAGGTCAATGTACATGATTCCACAATAAGAAAGACACAGGGCAAAATGGCATCCATGGGAGAGTTGCAAGGCGCAGACCACTGCTGACCAAAAAAAAACAAAAAGGCTCATCTCGCATTTGGCAAAAAAATCTGACATCTTGATGGCTCCCAAGACTTTTGGGGTAATATTCTGATAAGTCAAAAGAGGATCTTTTTGAAAGATATTGGTCTTGCTACATCTGGTGTATGTTACACTGCATTTCACCATAAGAACATCATACCAACACATGGTGGTCCGGGGCTGCTTTGCTTCTGCAGGACCTGGACAACTTGTCATAACTGGTGGAACCATGAATTCTGCTCTCCATCCGAAAAATCCTGAAGGAGAATGTCTGCCCGTCAGTTTGTGACCTAAAGCTCAAGTACCATTAGCTTATGCAGTAGGACAATGATCTGAAGCACACAAGCAAGTCCACCTCTGAATCGCTCAAAAGAAACAAAATGAAGGTTTTGGAATGGCCAAATCAAAGCCTGACTTGAATCCCATTGAGATGCTGCGGCAGAACCTTAAACAGGCAGTTCATGCTTGAAAACCCTCCAATGTAGCCGAATTAAAACAATTCTGCAAAGAAGAGTGGGCCATAATTCCTCCACAGCGATGTAGAAGACTTATCACAAGTTGTCGCAAATATTTGACAGCAGCTGTTACTGTCAAGGGTGGCAAGACCAGTTGTTATGTTTAGGGGGCATTTACTTTATCACATGGGTGATATAGGTTTTGAAAAAATCTTTATCTTCGGTAAATGGAATGAATCATTTAAGCTGCATTTTGGATAAACATAAATAAAAAACACATGTTTTTACAGTGAAATCAAATGTGTACTTGATGCCAAAAAAGTGGGGGAAAAATGGAGCACAAAATAGTCAATAGGAACTACTTTTTTTTTCGGTCTCTCCCTTTGCTTCTGTTGATGGCAGAAAAAAGGCCAATCATTCTTTTGAGTTATTTTGTACATTATTATAAATACAGTAGAATGAATCCTAAAACTATTAATAGTAATAAGCCTGCAATTTGTTTTTAGGGCTGATGATCAATTGCCATATAAAAAATTTGTGATTAATTTAGTTGTTTTTCTTTGTTCATTGTATGCCACTATTAAAGTACATGCCTAAACCGGCCAAATTGACAGATTAGCTGTTCATACTTAGTATCTCCTAAATGACGACAGACGGCCACCCTCTAAAGGTGTTACAGCACCAGTCAGAAGTTAGGGCTTTTGCAATTTTCTTAAAACCCACGATGTGTCTCATTAAACGTGTTTTCTGCTTTAATTTATTTACAACCATTTACCTCAACCCAGCTCGTGAATATGCACCCGATAATATTCTGCTTGTTGCAATCATTGTGGAAGCTAACAATTGTGGAAAATAATTGCAGTTAGCTTAAATAATTGCAGTCATGTGATTATGTAATAACTGTGACAGGCCTATTTGTTTTGATGCCTGATTTCAGAATTTCCTGTAGAAATCACAAATTCCCCCTCTTTATGTGCATAAAAGTACACAAAAGTATCAGTGCCAGTATCAGGATACAAGTCTTGATATTACCTGGTAATGGTTCGAAACAAAAATCAGTTATTGCCCATCCCTATCAGCAACTGTGCTGTAAATAAACAGCCTCTCTCTCTTTCATTTGCTCTCTCTCTCTCTCTGGCCTCCATCCCAAACACTGTAAACACAGGCTGCCCCATGGGAGCGCTGCCTGGGCTGCACTCCCTAACTACTGATAATGATCACTATTAAACAGGCCTGCCTCCAACATGCACTTCTATTAGCTTTCGCAGGAAAACAAATGCTTGTTGCAGTTTTATGCAGGCCAGGCAGAGTGCTGCAGTTCATCAGAAAAATGAGAAAATGAAAAGGTGATAAAAGTCAGCGCATGTGTTGTATAGAGAGGATGGCTAATATGTGTGTGTAAATCAGATTAATCCATTCCAGATCAGCTCCCTCTTCAGATGATTGGTTTGTGAAGATGATGGAGAATGCTAATGATGCTTCCCAGCCTGTGGCTCTTCACCAGGCCGAGATGGCTTCTATGGTTACACAACAAAATACAAGAAAAAGATTGCACTCTTATCAAAAATTTGCATTCTTTATCAGGCGCTGTACGCCTGCTGAGAGCAGCTTTGGGCCATATTCATAAGAAATAAGGCTGATAAGAGATAAGCTACTTGCGTTGGTGGTGAGGAGAATCAATGAAAAAGTACACTCGTTTTTAAAAGGTCAGAAGAGTCAATGAAGCTTAATCTTCATGGCTGCTGGAAGCAGTAGTACCTCAATGCATGTCCATTCTTGCAAGCTTCTGCACTGAGGTCAGAGCATTTACTACATTTTAAGTTGTTAGCATGCTGAGCTTTATAATTTATGTTCAATATCAATTTACATTTATTACGTTTTTTTCTTTTCTTGGAGGTTCACACCACAGCCAGTTTAAGGGGAGTCTGGCCACTTCCTATTTCTCCTATTATATCCAAAACATGACTGCAACGAGCTAGAGGGCGTGCATGAGCAAGTCCTCAATGAATAGGAGTGAAAGGAGCTAAACCGCTGAAAATGAAATATATTGGAGCATTCACTGCTGTTAAAGAGGCACAGTTTACTGCACAAATTGTTGTGCTTTTTAAAGGCTGAAGCTGTAAGCCACGCCATACAAAGACAGTTTTCGTCTAACAATTCGCTCTAAACCTAGCTAGGCCTTCTTGGCCATTAGTGATAAACTGACTAGGACTTCCTATTCTAAGAGAACACTGCCTTCAGAATAAGAGTCCTTGCAGGAATAACCAAGTAAATAAATGCCTAAGAATTAACCCTCTAAAATGAACCTGCTTAACTTCATGAACATGCTACAACATGTTGCTAACCATTTATGCAGGACCTTACTTTTATATTGGTAAGTAGAAGGATGTATTCCATTTATAAAAAAATCGAAGACAAGTTACCTGTATATGTTTTTCTACAGCAAGTAGGTTTTGGGCAGCAGGATTTTAGGATTACTGCCACTGAGTGCTGATTGGTTGGTGAGCACATGGGCTCATAGGCTAAGTAAATTGGTTTGCACTCACTGACATCATGAATGTGCTTGAGACACTGGGTACACTCCAGTATTCACCTTGTGCATGTGCCAGAGTGGGTGTAGCTTCGACTCAGTAGGCAAAGTTGTGTCATATGATAACAAACAAACATAAAGTGTGAAGAGCAGGCCTACCTTTACTGCTAGTGTTGACATAGTATTTGCGTCCCTCGGCTGACATGTAGCACTTCCAGCCCACAGGGAGAGGAACATTATCTGCCTCCTCTTCGACAGTAGAATACTCCTGACACATACAACACAAAACAGTGAAGAAACAGGCTGTCATAAAAACTGCATTTATTCTAAAAAGCTTCTGCCATAGCTGTGATTTCAGGAACACCTTTAATGTTTAGACTACTGGGACAAGTACATGTAAAATCTGTCAGCTATTTAATTATAAAAGATGATGATTAATGCATTCCAGTTTGTGACATGCTAAATGCATTTCTTTCCACAAACAGCGTTAGTAACCGAATGACTCTTCTAATGAATCATATTACCATGAGATGTGAGCACAGTGACCGATATCAGATGTCCTGGCAGAATGTTCAGAACAAGGTCTGACAAATCACGTGTTTCACTAACACAATATCTACTCATCACAATAAATAACAGCAATCACATTATTGCTCAAATCACGATTAGGAGTTAAAAACATATTACACAGCACAAGATCTATATTTACACTGTGAATATCATATCTGGAAGAAACCACAATGTATTGTGTACAAGGACTACACTCGTAAAAATAAAGGCTTTTAAATAGTTCTTGGCTCGGACGTACAATTCCGAAAGGTCAATCACCTTCACCAAAAGATTCTTTAAGGAAACAAAAGTGGCACTGCTCCAAAGAACCCTTTATGGCATGTTTATTTTTAAAATTGTATGCACCCCAAGCTCTCAGTGTGAGATCAAGAAACCTGGATTCAAACATGCAGCTAGCATTAAGTTCCTTGTAACGTATCATGAAAAGTAAATATATGTAGCTAGTGCCACAGAAATGCGTTACTCCTCTTAAATTGATGGAGCAGGGTACACAGCATGACCACACCAATAATTCAGCAATTTAATTGTATATGACCTGTCAAAAACAAAACTAACGGCTTCTTGCTCCTTATCTACGGCGTCCAGCAGTGTCTCAGACCGAGACAGAAGACAAACAGAGAGAGAAAGGGGTAGCAGGGTAGGCTGTGGAGGGAGGAACAACAAAAAGACCAGAGAAACAGAAAGCAAAACAGATGGACTGCAGAGATGGGCAAAAGGTGAAATGAGAAATAAAGGTAGAGCTGAAATCAGCTAGAAGGAGAGTCAGCTAGCAAGCTGCAACGTCTGCAGACACAGATCAAGCTGAACTGCTGTCTTCAAGCATTGGCCATCCATAGAAGCTCAGCAGGAGAATGGGACAAAAGAACAGAAGGGATGAAGTGCACAAGAGGCTATTAACCCCTCAAACTGCAGACTTATTATTCAACTTGCTAATCTTAAGGCAAAACACTACATGTGATCCACTTTTTTAAAATAATATATAAGAAAGAATCTTTGTCATCGTTGATTACTAACATTCTTACAAGTATTTTTGTATTTTACATTTGTCCAAAAATTACATTCAGATATGCAAATGAAATGTTATCTGATCAAATATGCATTAATTTGCATTCAAGTCTTGCCTCTGAATGTTAGAATTAAACCCTTTATTTCATTATAAAAGAAAACGCCAGAGAAAGGATTTTACAGAACACATAGCTGGAATCTCACTGTTTTATTGTTCAATCTAGAAATCACTACGCACCGTTATTGTACAGTGTTTTTAGATCATTTTGTAGAATGCTGTAGCATAAATCCAGCTATTAGCAATACATTAGGAATTTATTCAGTAATATCCTTCAGAATGTGATTAGGAATGAACAAGTACATTTTTATGAATGCAGGTATTCTAGAAGGTGATATTTCTGGATCTGAATGTAAAGAAAAGCTGATTTTAAGAAAAACTATTTTAAGAATCAGCTTCACAACTGCATTGCCAAGTGAGATGACAGAAAATATGCACCATTTGTGTAAATGTTGACATTAGCACAAAGGAAATAGACATATTTGCAGTGTTGTAGTGAAGACCATTAGAGCAGAGTCCGAGTCAATACCAAAACCTAGACACACTGGGGCCGTTTCAAGACGAAGACTTTGTAGTAGTTGAGTCCAAGTCAAGCCCAAGACCAGAAATGGTGAGAAAAAGATCCGTTTCCAGTTACCTTAGACAGAGTCACTGCCATCAGCTAGTCTTGAGTTCACCTTACCCCAAGACCAAGTCCAGGTTTAGCCATCATTAAAATGGGTAACTTTTGGAAAATATAGTTAAACACATGTTGACATTAATCGAATAAACATGCTGAAATAAAATATCTCTGTTGAGTTTTAACATTATGTTTACAGTTTAAGAGGACATGATATAGATGTAATTTATCCAAAAATCTGAAAATGCTTTAACTAAAATCATCATTTTGGCCTGTAGTGTCTTGCCTTAAGACATTCAGCAAGCACTATAATTTAGCTGGAAACTGCTATAATCCCCTTAAAATCCCAGGGTTACTACATACTAAGGCTTGTTATTCAGTATCTACAGGGAATTCAGTGCAAACTGGTTGAACTTTTCTTAGGTTATCAAAGTGTGTAATAAAACTTTGGGCCCATCGGTGGGCCCTAGCCATTGTAAGCTTTGAACTAATGCATAAGTTATGCAGAACTTAACTGTGGATGCACATCCAGTTCCTTAGCAAACATCAGTGACACATTCCAGAGTCATTATAAAGGAGGAGACAGGTCATTAGTTGGACAATGAATGGGAAAGTTCATAATGCTCAACATGGTGTCTGTTTACAGGGAAGGTCCCAAAGAGACAATCAGATTACTGTTAAAGTTGCAAGCAGGAAAGCCCCCCTCGCTGTCGAGATCTGTGCAAGCTAAGCCACCAGAAAAACGGTGATGAAACGGTTGTTCGGCCTTTAGTTTTGAGCTGATTTTGCTTCAGTATGAAAGGGTTAAGGGGTTAAAGGAATGCGAAAAAGCAGACTGTGCATTCTACAGCATCGGGCTGCCACAACCACTGCGGTGTGGGCGGACCACCTCTTTTGAAGTGTGACATAAAAGAGATTCTGCACTCCTTCACTCCCCTCCTTCTCTCTCTCTCCTTCTGCCCATCCCTCACACTCTCCCTTGATTCTGTTTCTCTGTTTCAAGGTTTAGTCAAGGACCGTGTGCATGCTGTGAGGGGGGGCACAATGGCGAGCTCTTGTACACACGAGGGGGCCATTCTGAACTGTACTGCTCTTTCATTCAGCCGCTTCAGCAGAAAGACAGCAGGTCATTTAGGTGCACCGCTGGTATGAGCGTCTTTCTTGTCAGCTTGCTCAAAGCAGCAAAGACAGAATTCTTCTGTTAGAACTATGCTGCCTTTTTCATACCTTCATGATTTAAAGGAATACTTCAATCAAAAAAATCTAATTTACACAATTTCCTCTACCTCAAATATAGTCCACCAGTCTAAAGTTGGTGTCCAAAGTTGCTTCTTTAGGTTTGCACCAGGGTTCTGTTGGTTAACTAAAACTATTATTAAAACAAAAGCTAGTGAAAAAATCTTAACTCTAATAAACATTAAAAAACGGAAAAAACAAAAGCAAAAAACTAGAGGAAAAAACACTTCTTTGTTTTTTTAGTGTCTTTGAGAGCTTAGAAGTGGAACTCCTATGTTTGGCCTTCTTTAAAGACAGCTGGAGCCAAGCCTAGCTCAGTAATAGAAGCTTGCACCGATCAGGCCTAACATTATGACCACCTCCTTGTTTCTACACTTATTGTCCATTTTATCAGCTCCACTTACTATATAGGTGCACTTTGTAGGTCTACAATTACAAACTGTAGTCCATTTGTTTCTCTGCATTCTTCATTAGCCCCTTTTACCCTATTCTTCAGTGGTCAGGACCCCCATGGACCCTCACAGAGCAGGTACTATTTGGGTGGTGGATCATTCTCAGCACTGCAGTAACACTGACGTGGTGGTGGTGTGTTAGTGTGTGTTGTGCTGGTATGAGTGGATAAGACACAGCAGTGCTGCTGGAGTTTTTAAACACTTCGTCCACTCACAGTCCACTCTATTAGACACTCCTACCTTGTCAGTCCACCTTGTAGATGTAAAGTCAGAGATGATAGCTCATCTGCTGCTGCACAGTTTGTGTTGGTCATCCTGTAGTCCTTCATCAGTGGTCACAGGACGCTGCCCACAGGATGCTGTTGGCTGGATATTTTTTGTTGGTGGACTATTCTCAGTCCAGCAGTGACACTGTGGTGTTTAAAAACTCCAGCAGCACTGCTGTGCCTGATCCACTCAACATAGCACCTCCACCAATGCATGGAATATTTTAGTTAGTTCATGAAACCTAACGCAAACAGCAATATTTCATGTAGAAATATTTGCTTTATAAGTAGCCTAGTAGCTAATGCTAAGTTAGTAGAGAACTTTCATTTTCCACACTAGACTTAATATTACTTACAGCCTAAACACTGAAATTTGAAGCTTCTAAGACATGTATGTAACTGATTCTTTACTTTGTATGTTGCAGCTCTCAGTGAATCCCTAAATACTTGACTTAAAGCCTAATATTACTGAAGTAGTGTTAGCCTATAGCTGCCTGTCAAGCTAATTGCAAAACCTGCATGCAGTAAGTGACTGCATATGTGCATTTGTGCATTCTTTGCAAGGTCACTTAGTGTTTTTGCCCATTTCTTTTTTCAACACAAGCCCTAAACTGGCTCAGACTACACTCAATGAGATCACAAACACCCTGGAAAACAAAAATTGTTTTGAGCTAAGAATCAAGGGAAAGTTTAAAGTTCAGGAAGGTGCATACAAATGAACAAAATTAAGGCACATAGTTAAAAATAACCATAGCAGCCATCTTGAAGAAGGAATCTTGCCCATGTATTTGTCTATTTTTGGAGAAAACAGTACGACAAGGTCAGAAACATTGTTAGCTACATAAACCATGTAGCTCTAGTGCAAAGAAGCTAACTTTAGACAGCAAAGACCAGTCGCAGCTGGTCAACTACATTCTGGGGTCAGGGCCAAACTGTGTAAACTAGATTTTTCACCAAATCATTTATTTAAAGGGATTCAGTGTAAGGACAGTAATGGCCTGAATGTTCCAGCACTGAAGCCATTTCCTCAATAGAAAAAGACTGACTGTTCTTTTTGTCCCTAATCAGCGCCCTCGATTCTGAAACATCTCTGATCTTTTATCTCGGATTGGCTTAATGTGTGAAATCAGTTAATCTGCATGGGTCTGAAACTGCCAGCTCCACAGCTACTAACCTCCAGCCTCTAAAACATATCCAGCTAGCTATATTCATGAGCCTGGAATAAGGAATCACTTATTTTCCTCCAACAGTATCACAGCTCAATTATGAATTACACTTTATTTTTTTAACTTTGTTAGAAACTATGTGATTGCACTGATTCTAATGGAAAGAAAGTGACCCGAGACTCCATAAGATTGGACAGAAAGCTAGAATTTTGCAAGAAGACAAGAGAAGAAAGAAGGGTAGAATGCAAGAAATTTTTACTGGGTGGAAGATAAATACATCCGATCCCAGGCCCCTGAGTTCACATTGTCTCTGCTGCAGAGATGGGGGATTAACCGGAGCTGCAGCCAAGTTCTCACATTGTGAATCCTTGGATTTTCCCAGTCAAATCCTGTCTGAGGTTGAGCTCTGGAATGCTGGATGTTAGATACATGTTCCTACCCACAGTGATCTGGGATCAGCCATGCATTTTCTCTCATAATGCTTAGTATATGATCCCTGAAGGAGAAGGAAGTCCCACATCAGTACGAAAGAACAGTTTTCCCTAGAACCTAAAGAAAAGATCTGAAGAAAAGGACTCTCTTTAGAAGCTTTGTGGTAGCACTTGAGCTGACTGCATTTAAATGTTTACTTTGGGTGAACCAGAGGTCTCCACAGATGTTAATAAATAATAACAGTAAATTTAGTTTTTTGCATTTCAGATATTTGATATAGAGTGACAGAGCCTAAGTACAATGTAGACTTTTCTAACAAAGTGGATCATCACTATGAAAAACTCCCTTTTGTCTTGGCTTACCAGCCTTCAAACATTACAGATTACTTTCTACTCAAGGGCCATGTGGCCTGACCTCCTAGCTTGCGATCCAGAGACTGAATGAGTAACCAATTTTATATTGCAAGAGCTGCAATTTTAATTATTAAACAAGTTTTAGGCACAGATGAGTTTTAATTTTCATATATTTGAATAGTCATGAAAGTGTAGTCGCATAGTAATATTAAGAAGCTGAGTGGTGTCACTGTCTCTGGTCACTGTCTCCTAAGACATCTGACATGTGGAAGTCTATAGGCTTGAGGTTCCTATCCTTTTTATAAGTGGGGAAATTAACTTAATAACGCAGAGCTTGTGAACTGTCAGCCTGGCACACTACATTTGGTGTTCAAGCCTCAAGCCCAAAAAAATGGATGCGCTGGTCTTCTTGGGGAAAAAAGTTCTGGAGCTTATTTTATATAAAATAATCACATTTAAATCACAACACTTATCAGAAACAAAATTTAAAAATTCAATATCTTCCCCAGACCGCTGAGTCTTAGTGTTTGTCAATATATCCTCAATACTTGTATATAGTGAAAAACACATTTATATTTCCCTTAATCATCATTTTATTGCATTTTATTTTATTTATCCATTTTTCCCCCAATTTCGTCATGGTCAATTCCCACCTACTAGTTAGGTCTGCCTCTATCACAAGCTGCTACCAAGATGGGAGAGCTATGCCTTAATGCTGTGATCAATACCATCCATCAAAACTACAACCCAAAACTATCTGTACCCCTGCAGCTGCAGTTAAGGACCTTATCAATTATGTAATGTATCTATGAAATGTGAACAAATGTAGTTAGCTCCAAAAAATGATTCATTCTCCCTATATAATGTAGCATATGGCCTGACCAGAGTAATAATTTAGCATTCTAATATTATATTACCCATCAAAAATGATATCTGTGAAAAAACACCTCCAACACTTGCCACTGTTCTAAGCATAGAAGACTCATGGTTCACTAAAGTAGCCTGAAAGTTTGAGCTCAAGCATGACCCTTTCTGTACTCTTCAGAGGAGTGTGGGACCATATGGAAGGAATGATTAAATAGGCAAAATTCAGTACACTCAAATGAGTTAAAAAAGAGAAAAAGGACAAGAGAAAAATGTAGGGGCAATATTTTTTACAAGCTAATAAACATGGCTATAAACAAACCAGATTTCATTGGACATGTGTTTTTCCCTGTTTTTGAGGTAAGGAGGGGAGTTATAAGAGGCAACAGAACAGGGTCTGGAGCTGAGCCATGAAAGCAGAAACACTGCCAGCAAAACAATACTCAGATCTGATATAGTGCATGGTAATGAAATCTAAGGAGTTTTGGCTTGCTAGGCAGGACTGAACTCACTACCTGTGTACACATAAAAACTATCAGTGTGATCTCAGTTTCAGAACAGTGTCAGTCTAGTAAGGAATTTTAGTAGGAAATAGTAGGGAAAATGTATGATTTTATTGTTTGGCTCATGCAGAACATCAACTAATCATAAACTTAGATCTGGACCAACATGTACCAAGCACCTCAAAGCAAGAGTGTGTGTAGATTAACTACTCTCCACTAGGCATGGGTAATATGACAATATGAATTAAATGTCCAGTCATAACAGCCATCAAGTACAAGTTCCTGATTTTTTGGAGATATTTCTGAGGAAATTATTTAAGGTAATCTCCTTGCAAAAGGGTGGTTAAAGACAAATAAAAGTAAGTAAAAAAACTTTTTCCAAAACTGATTAAAAATGAATAGTAGTCAAAAAGGGACTCCTAACAACCATGAAAGACCTGGGAGACCACCAAAACTGTCACCATCGTATAAACCGTGCTTAAGGCTTTCATCTTTGAAGGATAGGAGAAAAAATCATGGAAAAAGTGGTACTGTGTATCCCTACACATGATTCTGTCAACCCTAATCTCCAACCAGAAGGCTATAGAAGAAGCATGTAGCAGGTTGTGGACCAATGGTTAAGCAGGGACAAAGAGGCATATCTAGCTACACTGGGCTTACATGACCAATTCTTAGTGACTAAAATACTATAATACTACAAACACTACAAATCAACTTGGAGGACATTATAAAGTCACTTAAAGTTATTGTCAAACTAGAGATACAAAGCTCTTACCATGTGCTCCAGTTCTTCAGATGAGCTTTTACGACAGAAACGTCAGAAGGGAGAATTCAGGATGGCAAGCATGAGAGTTCTGTGAGCATCTAGCATCTAGCTCTAGAGAAAAAACACTGTACAGAAACTCCCCTCAGCACAAAATGACACAAATCCCAGGGTCAAAATCCAAGGATGTGGAAAGAATGAACAGACATGAACCATAACCCCTCTTTTTTCCCACAATTTCCCAAAGCAAAAAAAAAAAAAAGTATAGATGACGTTTCCAGACTTGAGAACTTTCTAAAAGGCTTTGTCTGGGAGTTCCAAATGCAAGCGGGTTAAGAGGCTGTTCATGAACTGACAGGGCTTTTAGAGACGATGGGCAGCACAATGCCTGACACTGTGCAGATGGAGAAAATGGAGAAATGACACTCTTTCTCAGTCAACAAGGCCAGTTTTGTGCTGCCTAACTCAAACAGACCTTGGGCAGTGCTCCTCCCTGCTCTGGATCTCCCCCTGTCTCCACATGTAACAGCAGTGTCTCAGACAGAGACAACTGCTCAACTATTCTCACTACTTCCCAGAACAGAGAGCTAAGAAAGAGTGATGAGCAAGAGAACAAAGTACTGTCTTGAGAATGCAGAGTAAATGAGGCGGCATGAAGCTTCCACAGCAGAAAGCTCCCTCTGCACACAGTCCATCTCCTGGCAAGAGCTATGACACAGCCTTGGATATATATAAAAAGACTTATCTTTTTATTTTAAAGCAGTACAGCAAAAACTCTAAATTTTCCCTTACCCCAAATGTACTTGATCAGCCAAGACATATTTGATGTCCGAAGTTTGTTTCTTGTAAGTTTGCTTCTTCAGTGTAGCTACCGTCATGGAACCTTGTAGTCCGCCAAAACCTATTTTGCAAACTGCAGGTCTCAAACTTCATCAAGTTGTCAAGTAATATCAAAGACTTGCTTTCTGAGATTACTGACCCTATATGACATATTCCTATCCATGTAAATGGACAAAAGTACAGACAAAAGCTTAAAAATGTTATTTAGCTTCGTGATTGTCCATATAACAGTAGGGTTGTGGTAATTTTGAACAATCAGGACAAATATTTTGTCGTTATTTGAAACCATGGGTACAGTTACATATTCAGTATATTTAGGACTGTGTCTGTTAGCAACAGCGGGGATGACACACAGGTCCTTTCCATACAGAGTTTGAGTTTTACAGAAAAAAAAATTGCACATCAAATTTTGAAAATGTACACATTAACACAAATGCCATCTTACACTGCTCACGGCTGCTTGTTTAGTTTGTTAGCTCCTTTGACCTTATTTAGCAGAATGAGCTGTTAACCAGTGTCTGCGTCTATGAGTCACACTGGCTTCTTCTTCCCTCATTCTGAGTGTTTTAAAAAAAGCACACTGAACTTGATGTGAAGGTTTCAGTGCATTGAATCCGTAAAACCTACAACGACCGAATATTAAACTGTAATTAACTATGACAATTATTGTTTTTTGAAGGTGTTTCCTGTGTGTGCTAGCATGCCACTGTGACATTCACTCATGCCTTTTTGCCAAACAGGGCGACTCACTGCTCTACGTGTGTATGAAAATAAAACCAGGACTGGAGTATCCGGGAATGGATCGGAGTGCACTATAGACTACATATTAATTTCGTGGTCATTACTGATAATTACTGATAAATCAGTAAGTGGTCCCAGTCTTACACAGAGGTGAGCAATATGGTAAAAATATTTCACAATACTTGAAGACATTCTCACAATACATGATATGTGTGACGATATTTAGTTTTACTGAGGTCTGATAAGTTGGCACAGACAGAAAAGAGCCTATCAAAAAAAAGACTACAATGAAAAAAAGCAGTTGTTTAGTTTTCTTTAAATACTGACAATATCCATGATATGCTCAGAAAAGCACATTGTGACATAATTTATCATGATAATAACAAAATACTATCATGTTGCCTACTCCTACATGTAAGCTTCCATTACTTGTTAACCCTAGCCTTGTAGCCCCAATGCAAAACTAAAGAAGACAACTTAAGACAGCAAACATATTTTGTTTGACGGACTACATTTGGGTAAGAAGGTAACTGTGTAAATCTGAGGATGTTCTTCCAGGATGTGTTTCCACATACACTATATGGCCAAAAGTATGTGGATACGTGACCATCACAGCTATATGAGCTTGCTGGACATGGATTCCAAAACCATGAGCATTATTATGGACCTAGCCCCCACTCTGCAGCTGTAACGACCCCTGCTTGTCTGGAAAGGCTTTGCGCAAGATTTTGGAGTGTGTCTGGGGAAATTTGTGGCAATTTAGTCAAAAGAGAGTTTGTGGGGTCAGACACAGTTGCTGGACGAGAAAGCCTGGCTCGCAATCAACAATCAAATTCATCCCAGAGGTGTTCAGTGGGGTTGAGGTCACGGCTCTGTGCAGGCCACTGGAACTCCTCCACACCAAACTTGTCAAACCATGCCTTTATGGAGTTCTCTCTGTGCACTGGGCACAGTCATGCTGGAACAGAAAAGGGCCTTCCTCAAAGTGTTCCCACAAAGTTGGAAGCAAAGAATTGTCAAAAAAAATGACTTTGTATGCTGTAGCATTAAAATTAGTCTTCGTTGGAACTAAGGTGCTGAGCCCAAACCCAGAAAACCTCCCCTTATCATTATCCCTCCTCCACCAAAGCTTTACTGTTGGCACAATGCATACAGGTAGGTGGTGTTTTTATGACATCTGCAAATCTGGATTCGCCCGTCAGACTGCTAAATAGTGAAGTGTGATTTATCATCCCAGAGAATACGTTTCCATTGCTCTAGACTCCAGTAGCAGACTGCTTTACACCACCTCAGCCAAGGCTTGGCATTGCAACCAATTTCCTGAAGTTCCGGACACACAGTTCTTGTGTTGATGCTGCTTCCCAATGTAGTCTGGCACTCTGTAGTGAATGATGAAAGGATGAGAGGATTTTTGCGCTTCCACACTCGGCTGTCCCATTCTGTGAGTTTGGACGGTCTACTGATTTGTGGCTGAGCTGTTGTTGCTCTTAGACACTTCAATTTTACAATGATAGCACTTACAGTTGGCTGGGGCAGATCTAGCAGGGTGGAAATGGCTATGTGCTTGATTTTATACACCTGTTATCAAAGGGTGTCGCTGCAACAACAATAACTAGGAAGGGGTGTCCACATACTTTTGGTCATATAGTGTATAAAGCAAATGAGCTGCTAACATATTGCAATCAATGCGTTTATTCACCAACAATGTTTCTGTTACACTGTTCAAAAATCTTTTTATATCCTTCTTGAATACATTTCATAGACATCTGACTGAAAAAAGTACACCCACATGAATTAATGAATTGAATTCACTCCTGCAGTGTAACATAAAACAGCAATTTGACAGAAATGCATCTTGACATTTTCCATGATTGTGCTGGGTAATTTGTTAAATAGGTCAGCCTACGCTGTCGCGCAGTGTGTGCTGTCAAATTAAACAGCCTAGTAAATAAATTAAGCACTAGTCTTCTTTTGAGCAGACAATATCATTATGTCATAGTTCCTGCATGCGTCTATATATGACACAGCAATGCAGTTATTTTACTATTAGCCACATGTACTGAGATTGCCGTAAAACTTTTTACTCCCTGTAGGCCTCTACTAGTCTTTTAAAAAAAAAAAAAAACACTGTCAAAGAAACACTGCCAGACATCTACTGCGACATCTCCCACCAGAGCAACACCTACAAGAGCAACAGTAAATGGGCATCACAACGTTATTATAGGACACAGAGTTCTCTGCAAACCCTGCAAAAACACGTCTAAATTGCGCGCGTTTCCAGGGTAAATGATAAGTCCTCCCTTAAGACAAGCACAGAGACGCAGTGCTCCCAGCAGCAGATGTGCTTCATCAGGATAAAGTTGTTTGTGCTGCACATCACTTCCATCAGTACTGATCCAGGGAGATTTTAGTACCTAATTAACTAAAGATTTGAGTGATTATATCTACTACTTAAAAAGTGGTACGCATTATGTGTGCATACTTAAAAAAGCAACATGCATACTTCAAAAATTAGTAGCATACCATTTAAAAAAGGATAATGTATACTTAAAACGTAGCAGGCATACTGTGTGCACACTTAAAAAGTAATATGTCTACTGTGTAGATTTTAGGTCTGCATTTAAAACTTAGAATGCATACTGAACAATGTGTATGTATACTGTGTGCATGCTTAAATTAGTATGCATAACTGAAAAAGTATTATAGATACTTAAAAAAATAGCATGCATACTTGAAAAGAGTAGTGTGCATGCCTTAAAAAAACACCACACATACAAAAGTAGTTTGCATATTGTGTGCATAGCATACTTATAAAATTAGTATGCATACTGTGTGCTAATTTCAAGACATACATGCTTAAAAGCAATGTGTGTTGTTGCAGGCAAGTCAAGATAGGCCACACATAAAAGGTGTCTCCCTCAAACTTTGTGCCTCCAAGCAGCCAGATCATTTACACTGGGCAAAAAAGCTAGTCTTATAAGCTTTATTTTTGTATTTGCTCAGTAAAATGACTCATACCCAAGCAAACTAACTTAGCTTCTAAAAGAAAAAAATACACCCCTCCAATCCTTTATGGCTTCCAGCCTAGTAGACTGCTTGATGAACAACTGTACAGTACACAATAATAGCTAGGTATAATATTACAACAGTCAACAATTTTTTGTAGGTGTACATATAGTATGCATACTCCTTTTTCAGTACACATACAAATTTTTATGTATGCATACTACTTTTATGTAAAGTACACACTTAAAACTACTTAAGTAGTATGCACATATAAAAATTGGTATGTGTACTGAAAAAGGAGAATGCATACTATACACACACCTACAAAAATGTTGTACATATACTAGAAGAATTGGTACTGATACTTAAAAAAGGGATGCTTTCTTAATTAAGCACTATGCATAATATGCATATCTAAAAAAGTGTGTTTGTACATACGTGTAAATATGAATACTTAAATAAGTAGTATACAAACAGTGAGTCTAATTAAAAAAGTACCTTAAATACTAACAAATACTGATTGTACTGTGCGCGTACTTAAAAATTAAAATTAGTATGCATTCTGTGTGCATACTTAAAAAGGTATTCATAAAGGGCTGCCAGAACCACGGTGGTGAGCACTTTTCA